GGAATTAATAAAACACAGGGTAGCGAAGAGTACTCTTTTCGATAAATCTCATCAGGCGTTTACAATTATAAAATAGAAAGTTGGAGCGGGATAGGCTGGTGAAGCGCGACAAAGGTTAGCGATTCAAAGCGAGGCAGAAGGTCAGCTGTCCTAATCGATAAATTGGTCGATCCACTGAAGCTGCGGCTACCACAGTACACGTAAGCAGACATAGATACCCACATACAGACACACACGTATGCTCACGAGGCATATGACGTGCTTCTCAACTGATTGGGTGACGCACTCATCACCCGGTGGTTGTCAGCGTGTGAAGTGGAAGCTGTTTGGAAGTGTGTTAGCCCCAGGGCAGAAGAAGCGCTTGAATAAGCGCTCTCTGTTTGCATAGCTCAGGTTGTGTAAGCCTAATCGCAATGGCTTCGGCCGTCCGTAACATTCGTTTCCTCAGCCCCTTGGGGTAGCGTTTTGGGACCACATAAAACACTTTGAAAGCATCCGTAGCCTTAATTTGATGTCCACTGTCGACCAAATGTTCCTGCTGCCTATCCACACATCATTGCTGAAACTATGCCGTTTGTTGCCCAACGTCTAAAAGACAGACTCCCGGTCCAGTCCGAATCTTATATTCTATATCAATTTACTTGCACCTGTGGTGTGAAGTACATCGGACATACGACTAGGCGTCTGTCTAAACGGATGTCGGAGCACTGTCCCACGGCATTGCAGAAAGGTACTATTGGTTGCATCAAGAGTTCTATCCTAGAACATTTGGTCGACAGTGGACATCAAATTAAGGCTACGGATGCTTTCAAAGTGTTTTATGTGGTCCCAAAACGCTACCCCAAGGGGCTGAGGAAACGAATGTTACGGACGGCCGAAGCCATTGCGATTAGGCTTACACAACCTGAGCTATGCAAACAGAGAGCGCTTATTCAAGCGCTTCTTCTGCCCTGGGGCTAACACACTTCCAAACAGCTTCCACTTCACACGCTGACAACCACCGGGTGATGAGTGCGTCACCCAATCAGTTGAGAAGCACGTCATATGCCTCGTGAGCATACGTGTGTGTCTGTATGTGGGTTTCTATGTCTGCCTACGTATACTGTGGTAGCCGCAGCTTCAGTGGATCGACCAATTTATCGATTAGGACAGCTGACCTTCTGCCTCGCTTTGAATCGCTAACCTTTGTCGCGCTTCACCAGCCTATCCCGCTCCAACTTTCTATTTTATAATTGTAATCGCCTGATGAGATTTATCGAAAAGAGTACTCTTCGCTACCCTGTGTTTTGCAGTTATTACTCAAAGTAGCACATAATCCTACCGACATCTTTGCCAGCCTTGCCTTTCTCGCTTGCAGTTAGGCCATGTTGACGAGTACCGAGGAGTTCACAGTTGTAAATGAGCATATAATATATTGAGACCAATCCAGAGGGTTTGTCCACGATTGGCTATGCTGTCCCAGGGGGCTCAACACTCGCGTCGTTAGACTTCAAGGCGGAAGGCTCCATGCTAGAGCCTTCGATGAGTTGTGTTGGAGGAGGGACAACCAATTGACCGCAATTCGTCTTACAGTTCACTCAAGGCACTGACGCCACCAGGGAAATTCAAATGCGCCTAAATTGAATGATCCGAATACCTTCCTTGCTAAATGTATCCAACAAAATGCAGAAGCCAGTCAGTCATTTGAACTGATGTTTGGCTGCCATACAATCATAATTACCTATGATACAAGAAATAATAAGTAGGAGGGGAGAAAGAAAGGGGATCTGCCATAAAACATTAATGCCCTAAGCAAACATTCAGGGTCAAGGCGACTACACCTTGACAACAACATGCTGTCACAAACAGCTGTCTGTGTTGCAAAGATAAGGTGGCATCAGCGAGACAGCTTTCCTGCGGCTTTCACTGCCCCGCGTCATAATCAGCCATTACCCCGCACCAAACACATTTTAGACAGGCAGCATTACTAGGAAATGGCAGCAGACGCGCCACTAGTGTCGGCTGCGAGCCGCGTCCTCTAAAATCGCGAGGCAAGCACAAGGCCGGTCATGTGGACCCTAGCACGGAAGGCGAGACGGACCAACGGCAGCCAGTATGGTCGTCAATGACTTCATTTCCCGCTACCAAGTCAACCGGCTTGCTTGCCGAACAACCTCCTCGTGGTGCCAGCTGGGTGGTTCGGGATTATCTCGTTCCAGCGAATGGTTCGGCGGCAGTGTTCCAAGATGTGGTGGGTTTTCGCCTGGCAAGCGTTCTCGCTATCAAAAGCCACATGTCCGTTTAACCACACTGTGACGCGGCGGATGTGACTCGCCATTAAATAAAGTCACTGCCCCTTGCCTCTCTCTGAGTGGCACTGTGATTCAGGGGTGTGTTGGGCCCTGTCCCATGCGGTCCTAAAGGCGTATGAACCGGTTGTTTGGTTAGCGGCTTCCAACGGGTTGCGATAGCCTCATATCGCCCTGCTGCCATGTAGGTTAGATCCTGGATCAAAGGCTGCGGGTGAGCCCCCTAAGACAACCCTCTACTTCGGCCTGGGCAACCGGGTAGTATCACGCCCACTGACGAACCATGGATGGATCATCCGCTTCCCACCCCCAATAAAAATATCAAAAAATTCAAAAACTACAAGTTATAAAATGGACATAAAACTGCTTATTTTGTTTGTTCATTTAATCAAACCCTGTTTTCCTATTCCGCCATGGTTCCAAAGGCACAATATCTGTACATAGATTGTGAGCTATATATATATATATATATATATATATATATATATGTTCGAATAGGGAGGTCAGTGCTTTGCAGAGGACCTCACCACCATCCTTAAAAAGTGCAGGTGAGAGGGAATCCGAGCCAGCAGCAGGAAAACGATTGCGGACTGTGATCGCGTTTCGGACCTCAGCCCGCAATGGAGTCTTTAAACCAGCCATTCAAGGCCCATTCTGCATCATCTGAGTAGGACTAGGTCCGGAGGCAGGTGGCCAACTGAATTGATCTTGAAAATGTTCCGCTCAGCGAGCCGTACAGCGCTTCGTATTGTACTTAAGTACACCCGCGCTGCCTCTGATCGTGTGGATCATCTGGAAGAACTTGCGACAGTTGCCCACTGCTCCCGTCTCCACCATTTCTTGAGCCTGAATTGCCCACTAGGCTTCCATATCAGCACGCAAGCTGCGTTTTAATTCGCACCTAATAGTTCGTCTGATTACTATATGCTCAGAGCCAGTCAGGAGTTTTCTTCCGGATCCCAACAGTTTTACCGATCTCTTGGATACCCAGTGAATGCTATGGTGACGACTGGTAGTGAGAGAAGCGGATGATCCCGCGTCGTGTGTGGTGGCTGAGATCCTATTCCAGGGAAGCTCAGTGTCGTTAGGACGATAAAGCGAAGTTCGATACGCAGTGTACTCTAGTACGCTTGCCGGACCGAGGGCTGGGAGAACTTTTCACTCGTCAATTGAGAGACGTTTGGTACGCCTCTCGCTAAAGTTCGTAGAATAACAACAACGTAACAAGCCATGATCAGAGCCAACGCAAGTATTCCAGAACAAGTGGCAATCCAGGATGGAACCATGCCGTCTGTAACTTATGGCGACGTGATCGCTGCTCAGCTACAAGGGGACGCCAAGTGGCACTTCGGCGCCCAATGAACTTAAAATTGGTGGTCCGCGCTGTTGTGACAGAAGCTCACCATCGCCCGTCCGGTCCGAGTTAAGTCCATGCTTTCCACCTAGCTGAGCTTCTGAAAAGCTCAGACAACCTACTTCATCATTCAGATTCCCTATAACAATAACGATATCTGAACTGCTAATACTGCGAAGCAACGTGTTTAATTCGTGTTAAATATCTTGGACAGCATCAGAAATGTATTGGCGGAAATCGCAAACAAACAGCGTCTAGTGCCGTTTCGTTAATCAATCTCAGTTGCAGACGTTAAACGAGCCGCACACAAACGGTTGCACACGGGTATCTGATCAACCAAAGATGACTCAGCCCTGGAGCTGAGAACGATGCCCAACCCAGCTTGACCAGTGGTTGCCGCATCAGCGTCTCCTTATGCGTGCAACCAATAGAGAGAGGACCAGCCGGGCGTAGTTAAGTCTACAACCCCATGTGGGTCATTGGCCCCAGTTTCGGAGGCACAAGTCAAGTCAATACCCAGAGTGTCCAACGTGTGTGCAAGTGAAGCCTGTTGAACTATTTGTCTTGGAGTGCGAGCGGGATGGTAGTTGCAGATGTTGTGACTCCAGTGGCATTGCGGCTGCTGTCAATTAAACTGGGAATTATAGAAGCAAGGTTAGTCATTGTGATTGGGAGGGAGGGGTAAGAGAAACAGGTAGAAAAAAGAAGGGAGGCGCTAGCAGTGGCACGTTTTCGCTTATCCGCACTGCTGTATGCAGCAGATAAGGCGACCCTGGATAAGCTGCGCGACAGCCGAGGCAGGATGTAATTGAAGTTTGAGAAAGCAGCCCTGGTTGTACGTGTGCTGAGATATTGTCAAGGCGCCCAGACCTAGACAGGATGACGATTAGGGTCCTCAACCAAAGCCTTTGGTTCAAAAGCCTATCCGTAAGGCGGCAGCAATGGACGCCATCCCATTTTGAAGCCCAAACGTGGAGGACCGGAAGACTGAGTTTGTCTGACCTCTAACTACTGACCAACCTGGTAAGATTAGTTCACAAGGAGCTCGGGGGCACCACCCAGTATAATACAGTGAGTCAAAGAGGTACGCATATTATCCCAACACGTTAAGGTCCAGACTGCGAAACTTAGACGCGCGAAGCATGGGACAGCACCGTGAATAGCGTCACATGCTCCATTGGCGAATCCTGATCACTTTGTGACATCGGCATCTCATCAGAAAACACACATGGAAATTAGGTTACCCAAGATTGGCAAGGCAAAACACCCAAAATCAAGAATACAGACAAAACATTTATAAATAGTGCTAATCTGATCACCTAGGTTTGTACAATTGTGTGTATAGTATAGAAAAATAGCTAATCAGTATCCTTGAATTGCCACTGTTTGAAATATGAATGTAACGTCATATTCCTTTGGGCCTGAGCAGGAGGGGTAGATCGTGTGTTGTTTGAAGAGAGGCCATTAGGATGTCTTGTGCCACGCATCTGAATTGGGAAGAAACGAAGGGCATTACAGTGCATAAGAAACCGTTCGGCAGTATAAAGCTGCGAATTGGTATAGACTTACGCATCGACGTAAATAGCACAGCCATACACTGCAGAGCTTAAAAAATGAAATTTTGTGCAAAATGTTGGTTCAGTGTGTCTTATCGATGATGTTTGGTTTGCCAAACTGTGAAGGATCCGATCGTCTTGGCTCCCTTTTCATCAAAAAATATCAATGTAGGATTTGACATGATCATTCAAAGTGTAGTTGAGTGAAAAAAGCGAGGAAGTTGACTGCGCAATATCCGACATGGAAGGTAACTGCTGATGTGGCCGGTTTCAGGAGGGTGATACGTATTGGCCCTCTGGTTATGTTCGGTGAGCATCTGTATCCTCTTACCTAGAAGTTTAACCCAATTAAGCGCGGCGTTGTTACGCAGCACACAAGAGACGCAGCCAGTAAGCATGTATATGAAGGGTACTACCTGACGAGCGTAAGCGGTTCAAGTTTAATCTACACTCAAGTGGGATACCATGGGGTCTGTTGAAACACGCAGTAATATATGTCGGTGTTCCCACCATATGAGGGGGACAATTAGCATGCATTGGATATAAAGATAACCAGTGTTGATGTCTCCAGCGCAGATTGACGCCTTCTAAGACAATGGTGAGAGACCAGTACCATAACTGGGGCGTATAACGTAAGCGCTACAGCCGAATGGTGGCCAACAACACAAGCGGTGATCACAGTGAAGCCGCACTCTGCCATTATCACCAGTTCGCGAAGCAGATAAGCTGCTAATTGGTCACCCGGCTGAAGAAGTCGTTTGTTTGGGCTAAGCTGTGTGTACACCGAGGGACGAGAGCAACTGGCAACCTTCGAGTTATAAGCCAAGCAACCATTGCAATGAGACAATATTCGCTTTAGTGACTATCAAAGCAACAATCGAAACTCATTAAGATTTCCGCCCGACATACCGGTTCCTATGTCATTTTGTTCGTTGTGTTGCCGGAGACCGTTAAAGCCCATCAATCAAGTGGTGTGGGAAGATGCACTAATTAACCTTTACCTGACGGCTGTGCGGTGAGTTGCGTCCAGGATCCCTGGCGCATCGGGTGCCAAAAGGAATTTTTGCGTTGTTCATCGTTTCGATTTGGTCGTATTTAGTCAGCATCGCTCGGTGTGTCAGTGGCTGTATACGAGCACGTATAAGCATACCGAAAACGTTAGGCCCGCGACACGTTAGATACTGTTGAAAACCATCAACTCTCCGTTCTATATTGATATTGTATTACGTACCAAATAAATTTTTTCAATTCTCTCTTTCGGCAACATGTGAATGCGACCGAAGACAACTGGATTCGCAGCACTTCGGTGCCCGGATTATAGTTGTTCAGCTGAGCCGAAAAGACTAAGTGACACAATGCGCTGACGATATGCATGTATCGTGTCACAAGGCACATCTGTCGGATCATAGCATTTAATGATCACAACCTCAAAACTACCCGATTGATTCGAACAATGTGCACATTTTATGCCTTGTGAAGCGGAGAAGACAGACACGTCATGTCCGTAGTTGCGTACAAGTGATTGGGCATGTGTCCCTTAAGAAACACTCATTTTCTAACGTGATCGTTTAGCTGAGTCTAACCGTAACGAATTCGGCTTACAATCATAAAACAGTGATCTATATATTTATTATCTGGTCCCAATATGCGCGGATAAAGATGCCAGATAACCGATAAATGTTTGTATATTGAATGTCCTGGGATGAAACAGGACCATAGATCTTATGCTTCAAGATGAGGCTGATTACAGCTCGACGGCTCCTCAATTATTAAAAGACCATATCTTGGCCATAGAACGGTGCTGAAACTGGACGCTGATCAACTTTAAGAACACAACGGATGTTTACATGAGTAACCAGAGCGAACTGAACTGAAGAAAACACTGTTAATCGTGAGAGCGCGTCAGACCTTTTGGCACAGACAGCGTACAATACGCGATGCTGAAGCGAGAACAAAAGTATCTTTGAGCCAGTTGTATGTTGGTTGTTTCCCACCCGAAACTACTGTAAGTGCTGCACTCGAACGATTTGAAATCAAAGAAACTCACGGACACACGGGTACTCAGTCGCGTCAAAGCGGACTTGTCCATATGGGTACGTCCAAGGCGTGGATGGGAGGGTGACAGCTTTAGACACCCTATCTGATGTGACTGTCTTGGACAGCGGGTCGACTTGGGTGTGTCTGGAGTCAAGCAAGAGGCTGATCGTGCGATGTGAGAGTCCAGAAAGTTGGGAGACATGGGAGACGCATCTTCTTCTGAGGGATTGGATGGTGGTGGCGTGGCGGGCTGAAACTCACACGCAACGGTGGTGCAGAATTGAAGAGTAGGAGGGATTTGGACGGATGACAAGAAGGTTGGGGAACTACCGTTTTCTGAGGAGCTATGGGGATAAGGAAATGGTAGACAATGGACAGCTCTTGGTTGCGTTAAGTTATATTATTCACGAAACGTATGGGCACGATCGTGGAAGGCTAATAATACGATTTTCGAAACTACTTACATACAAGAGCTTTTTCATTCAGTCGCAGACGATGATCAACTGCCATCCAATAGGCAGCCTTAAGATTGGATCCACTGCGTAAACAAGACATTAGAAACAACGAAACGCGTGCTCAAAAATAGCTGTATAAGCAGGTAAAAACCAGTTGTCTTTCTCAAGGTGAACACACCACGCCACACTTACGTGTGTGTTAAAAGGCTTCGAATGGAAGATGATCAATGTCGATTTCAACAGAGCCTCAAAGGGTCATATACTGAGTGGCTGCGATCGTTGTAGATGCACATCAACAATTCCTAATGGGAAAAGCGCAGTAAGAAGACGAAAAGTGGCAAATTCACGCATTTCGTAATGGGATGAGGAGGAGCGGTTTACCGCGTTGTTTAAGTTCGCAATTGCGGTCGAGCGCAGATAACCACAGTCACGAATGTGTTCGACCCAGTTAGTTACGCGGCGAGCAGAACTGTCTAATCCCAAATATCTCGCCGTGACTTCGTAGCAGAGGTGAAGTAGTGATAGCGTGTGCGACTCAACAACGACACACAGGTGGGATTTTGCGAGTCGTTGAATCGTTCGTGGTTGTTCAAGTATTAGGACCCACTTGGTAGATGTATGTGGTTGGAGTGGGGAGACCAGATTCAAAGAAATGTGAACGTCCCATTGTGCGGACCACCACACCCCTAGTCTAAACACTACTTGCATTCGCGGGTACCTGACAAAGAATGCGATCGTATGTCCCGATACGAGCAATCAAAGATTGGAATACGGAGTACATAAGTGCGACAAAATGATCCGAGAACGACAGGTCTGCAGTCCTTCCTATGTTGCGCTAGGTGACTCACAGCTTCGGGTCACAAGCACCTTCAGACTCAGCTGTGTGTGTGAGTTTAGGTAAGCGATGTGAGGGTCAACCTCTCAAATGTTTTCTGGGAAGAATCCGAGCAAACGCATAGCGTATGTGAAAACCCGTGGGTGAAAGCAACCGCAGTGAGAGAAGTAGCTCAGTTGTAGTTGCTGGACCTACAGGTATCAGAGTCCTGAAGCGACGAACAGACTGTTGGATGACCCCATGCGCACATGATGACTGCCTGAGTGTGCGTATGTGACGAATCGGATGTGGATGAGGACCGAAAACATTACAAATAATCATGTGACCATAAGTGAAACATACATAAAGAAACAGGCCATGGAGTCCATCACAGAAAAAGCGAGAGCTTTAGGGAAGAAAAGGGAACAGTTTCAAAGAAGCCTAAGCTGAAAGCAGAGAAGGAAAGCCACAGCAAATATGCCATGAAGCTTTTCAGGTCGGCTCATCATTTTTCCGCGTCTCAGAGGATAAATATCACCAACCTACAATCACTAGTCTTGGGTCTACCCGACCAATATCGCACTGAGAATAATACGGACTCTCAATCGTGGGAGCACCGCGTGAGCAATGTATGCATTCGGAATTGCGTTATTGATGCAGGAAGAGCGAGTGAACCGCTCAGCGTCAGTATATCACGCACCAGGCTCCGATGGCTGGGCCACGTGTTGCGCATGACAGCACACCGACTCCCGAGACGTGCGTTGTTTCCATACAAGGGGTGTGGATGGAAAAAGATAAGAGGAGGCTAAGAGGAATGAAAGTCCTCACTACGAAGTTGGCGTCGGTTGGTGCATCCCGACTTCTGGGCTGGGGCCCAAAGGATGATGAACACGTTTGACTGGACATATTTGTTGATATGGTGAAGAGTCGGCTCCTATTGCGTTCGTGTTGTGAGGTTCTTTGTCCATCTTCGTATCTATCCATCCTCGTATCTGATGTGATATAGTACTTAACAGGATAGTACTCACTTTTTGGATTTTTGTACTGCATTCTTTTTGTATCGGGGCACATTAGCTGAGGTATGTTTCTCATCCTAGGCTAGCATGTATTGATGATGATGATGAGACCCTCACTGAAAGCGAATAGAAAGTATGGTCTGCAGTAAACTAGTAAGATGCAGTTCTGCTGCGCGGTCACGTGGAAATGCCGTTTTCAATAAGAAAATAAAAAGGCCTGAGGAACGACTGGTTTAGAGTTAACTTACCGCAACTGGGGATCAGGTGCAAACAAGCAGCCGTCGCCATCTTGGAAAGCGGTGGAAGGCCGCTTTCTCTAGTCGGGACTCGCCAGAAGTGTATAGCTTCTCGATTCGGAAGGGGCTTCGGTCAATGTAGGGAAGCTAGTAGTAGCACGGCGGTGCTGCTGGTGCCTGGCATGAACGCTACTATTAGCTCAGCCCACGTGTACACGAACAAATGTGTGATTACCGCGTAGCGACTATATCAAGCAAATCTGCGTACGAATGGGATTCATGCTGTGTGCCCAAAGCCGAAGTGCACAAGCACCCATGGGGTTCAGTTGTTAGCTGGTTCGAAGCGCAAGTGTCGTATAATGCGGCCGGTTTAAACAAATGATAGCGTACACGAGGCAGCAATAGGTGGGACGAATTTGTTTTCATTTACACCATCCTTTTTGTTGTGCAATCATCCTTGTATGCATCAATATTGTTATTACGTGAACCGCATCAATCACGCTACGATGGTTGTATCACAATCATTCAACTGAACACGATGCTGATAACGGGAACATGCGACAATTCGCCGCATCAAGTAAAGAAAACAAATACCAACCTTTGGGTGAGTATCTCCGAAGTTTCACTCGTTGCGCCACGGCCAGCTTCGACAAAAGCCGGTCGGCAATCGGAATCGCAGAGACGCGGTTTCTGCGGAGGTGTGGTGCAGAGAGGTGAAATTACATTGACAGTGTGAGCATTCGTGGGTTGGATGCGGAACGGATTACGGTTGAACACCGGGCTGCGGAGCACGGCATCATTCGGTTCTTGAGATTCTCGTACCGCGGCTCTCTGTAGAGCACAGGCAACATCGTCTTCGGTTTTTGACTTCGGGATGAGCAGCGATGAATTGTCCTCTGGGCATTTTTTGGGAAAATAATTTGAGGAAGAGAGCACAGTGGAAGAGAGAAGGCCTCTGTCGACCAGCTGTGGGACCGGGGTGGCCGACTGATCGACTGTGGGAGGTTTGTAGGTATCTATGATATCTGAAAAGAAGTTAAACCGTTACGAAAATTAGCTATCCAGATAAACTAGTTATCATTGATGATAACTGGATGCTCACGTTATCACCGGAGATAACACGTATCACAGCGTGTGGTTAGGGGCGACCGAAGCGTAAACACGAAGTGCGAGAGCACTCAAACGTAAAATAGAAACCATGTGCTTGCCTGGATAGATGATTTTGAATGTGTCACGAGTTGGGAAAATTCAAATCGCACCAGGGTTTACAGTGAGCCACTGGAAGTCTTTCTGGTAGTGGATGGGGTTCGTCGGGGTTATGTGATTTCCGCATTTCCATTCAATTTTACGGTATGAATGAGATATTGCGGATTCTACATCGATCGTGTTGAGGCCGTGCCCGCGGGAACCTTAGTCGATCTGGATCATGTGAACGACATTAGCTTGCCGATTTGTAGTCTCGGGGTGGCACAGATAATTCCTAGAAAATGTTCCATTCTTTGGCGAACGTCTAGTAACCCCAGAAAGGTGTGGTGGCTTTGAAGGACCACGAGTAAATTTTTAGTCCCCTTATTCTAGATCAGTTGATGTATGGCTCTTGAAATTTGTTATATTGTGGAAGCCAAAATGGCCTCCCAGAGTCTGAAACACTTTGGCAGCAAGAAAAACCATAGGACCGTAGTGAGGGCTATTTCTTCATACACTAGCGGTACTTGGTCCAATTAGTCTGAAGGTTCTAAGCGTTTGCAGGTGACTGATCATGGATGTCTGCGGAATATTGTTCCTGTCGGGTGAGAACAACGTGTTCGTAGCAACGATAAACAGAGAAAACTAGCTTTCAGGATGATGTTTCCCTGGATCAACAAATAAGACAGCACGTGATACATGTACCGTTCCATCAACGAACCAAGAGCAATCATTATGCGTTTACCCGAGCCTGGATAAGGAAAGGCTCAAAGTATACACTTGTTAGACGGCTGGGAGAGTCGGTGACCAGTAGACTAGGTGACACTTGTTGGTCTCACATTACCGGCTCCGGTCTACGTGACGATAACTGTGGTTGGCTTGAGACACAATGGGATATAGAAAATGAAACATATACGCCGGTTATGCGGTGTCTGTGAGATATAGGGTAAATAGGGTAAGACGCCAACTGCAGGTAAAAAGCCCCACTCATATACCTTTTTCCACTGCGGTCCAAATTCCACTCCAGATCATAGCCTCGACAGTTTAATAGTCTACCCTGCCTCATTCATAAAAATCAGCTACCGAATGCATTTCTTATTGGTAAATTGACTCAGTGACATACTGTACGGTATTTGTCACCTAATTTTCAGCATGTCTCTTAAGGGCATACGAATTTGAAGTGGTACATCAACTACTTTAGTTAATATATTTTACAAATTCGAATCCAAATATAGCTTGAATGGGCCCTTGTATCATGTTTCACTAGCATAAAGCAGGTGATAAAATTACGTACTAATAAATAGTGGGGATTTCCGTATAATTCAGAGATATTTCATCACAGCCCACTCTCAGTCAGCAGGTTAAGCAAGTCTGGAAAAGCACCAAACAGCGCTGTTTCGACCTTCTGGGTCTAGTCAGTGGTGCGACTTCCAACGGATTGCTGCCGGGTTTCGATCACCTGACTTCCGGATGCCAGCAGCTAGTGTGCCACCAAGCCATTGGTGATGGCCGCGGATCTGCATGATATAGCGCGGCTTATCTTCCAACGCCATACCAGAAGGTCGAAACAACGCTGTCTGGTGCTTTTCCAGATTAGCCAAAGCTTCCTGACTGAGAATTACTGTGATGAAATATCCCTGAATTATGCCAAAATCGCGACTACTTATTTATAATATAATATCCGTCCGTATAGTTTCTAAGCACCCTGTCGTACATTGTCGCTATGTCGAAATTCCCAGCTTGTGGGGCTAACTGCTGTACTCTGCACAGTTTGTAACTAGCATGGCAGTGGGAGATGAACCGGGATATATCATAGTAAACTGTCAATCATGCAGATCCGCGGCCGCCACCTATGGCTTAGTGGCACAACCTGCTGGCATCCGGAAGTCATGAGTTGGAAACTCGGCAGGGGTCCGAGGAAGGCTCACCACTGACGAGATCCCGAATGTCGAAACATCACCGTCTGGTGCATTCCCAGACATGCCAACGCCTGTTGACTGAAATTTGACTGTGATGGAATATCTTTGAAGTAAAATTAATTACTTTGAGTTGCACCCGTTACGAGTATAAGACGCGCATGGGCGTCTTACCTGCATTTGTTTTACATCTTTGTATGTTACTACTTCTTATAAACAATTTTAATTGCAGCAATACCAGAATGACTCGAGTGCATGTATGAAAGAATAAGGGAGGAGAATATGGGGCATAAAATCTGCAGGCAGCACCGGGGGACTTGAAAAATGGCACTTCCGGGAAAAAGACTGCTAAGTTCAACGACGAACTTTAGTGCTACAGAGACAATGGAATAATTGTATTTTTCAGAGTTATTTTCCGTTTTTCTGGTGTTTGCATTTGTGTATATATTTCTGAGTCGCTTCATAACAGAATTTCGGCCGCAGATGGGAGAGGCACTAAGTCAAAAGATAAAGACAATGGAAGCATTGCTGTTTGGTTTGACCACCGTAGACTTTCGACGTATGGCATATGATCTCGCAGGAAAGATGAACCTGCCTCATCGATTCAACAATGAGACTAAATCTACATGCCAAAGCTAGCTAGAGAGATTTCTAATATAAAAATTTTTTTATTTCACTTAGAAGTCCGGAGGCAGTCAGCATTTCTGATGCAACTGGGTTCAACATGGCAAAAGCAGTCAGATTTTACGACTGTTCGCGTACTGTGCTAAGATCTCACTCATTTATTGGAAGTAGGATATGAAATATGGATGAGACTTGCATTTCGTGTGTTCAAAAGCTGACAGAAATTTTGTCACAGAAAGGAAAACGCACCACTAGAAAAATGCCAAATTCTGAAATGGGAGCGTCATTTTTGCTTTTAATACAATGGGATATACATCCCACCAATGTTCATATTCCCGAGGAAACGGGTGGGATCCCAATCTGTTGAAAGGGGCACCTGCCGAATCCATTAGCTCTTGCTCTGATAATGTATGGTCCGATGCTGGGCAATTCAAAAAATGGCTAAAACATTTCATTATTAACGTTAAACCTTCGATGACAGAATTGGCATCTGCTAGCCATGTTACCATGTTGATATTGCCACCAAATTGTACACAACGACATCAACTTTGCGATGGCACGTTCTTCAAGTCTTTGAAATCAGCATCAAATAACTTTGTGGACCAATGGATGACAAATCGTCCTCGTCAACGAATTTTGTTATTAGATCTAGGCAGTTACACAAGTTATCAACAAACCAGCAACTGTCGCTACTGCTACAAAGGGCTTCGGGTCCTGTGGGATTTTGCCGTTTGATCACTTTGTTTTTAACGAGAATAATTTAGTTGCTGCCCAGTTTAATAAGCCACAGAATATTTGTAACAACCAAGTCATCTTGGTCCCCAGCCTTCAACAACACTCAGGTCAGAGGTACAGTCAGTCTGAGAATATAGGTCCAGCGGCCTCCCAGTTTGTTACAACAATGAGCGACTGAAGGAAACCCGACGCGTTCTCTCTTAACTGAACCCGTCCAATCGGCACGCTGTGTAGGAGCGCAAACGTCCATGAGACTGCGCGTAGGCTGTCACAGGTGTCTCTCTGCCCCTTTTGTCGGACCGCATGTGAAGTGGAGACTCGACTGCAAACTGCATCGTCTGACGGCCACTCTGGCGCGGAGACTCAGCCGAACTCATTATCCAAAGCACACGATAACCTGACTCCGATACGACTGCGGACTGGAAGGCAAACCACTAACGGAGGTCAGTGTGCGCAACGAGCGCTGAGCACACCAACGTAAGGCGAGGCTGGTCACAAAGTACACACACACACACACAGCAGTCAGGTTATGACTAGGCAAAGTGATGAAATTCTTGGGATTTGTTTATCGGATCACGAGCATATACCGCCGTCACCAAGTTTCCCTTACTCCGAATCGTGTTATGTACCTGTTAATCAGCGACTGCTTATTTACGTCTGTATAGTGAGTGTAGGTGAGAAAATTTGAGAAAACTGGAATGCCATGGACATCCAATCAAATTATTTTATCGATGGGGCTGTTTTCCGTTTGCACGGTGTGGAGAAGCAACAATTTTGGGCAACTTGTAATCCACACCGATGCAGCGCTTCAAGTATACAAAATGGCGCAATGTTTATGGTATGGGCTGGATTAACTGGCCAAAGAATCATGGGACCATTTTTGTTTTCCGGTAATGAGACCGGTAGGTCGTTGTTTCGCAGTACTAATGGCTTGCGTTTCCTAGCATCCTCGTACAAGGAATTACTGTAAAGTCGTGTCACTCTGGAACTGGAAGCCGCTTTCGGTCTTGTTCATTTGTGTATGTTTGTCGCAATGCCTATAGGTGCGGCTCCTTACGACAGATGTGAGAACATCTGTACACGCAGCAACGTCGTTGACGAATTCACCTGCAGCCATAGTCGGGTTGTTGGTTCAGAATAATGGCTCCCAATTCATAGTGCAGATAAGCTTCTTAAATGCATTCCAGTTAATTAGGTGAATGTTATGAGTGGGTTGCAACTTTGTACTTGAGTGGCTTAGTTCGTTCAATGTACACGATACAAAACGCCGTATCGTGGTCTCAGCCCGGTAGTGGATTGTCAATGAGTGCACAAGTGGAATGGATCCTCATGGTGAATGCTAAATCTAGGGTATTGGTATTTCCAGTGAGCCCTCTGACATCTTTGATGCAGCCTTTGAAGTGAATAGAGTACACCATTTCTTCTAGTCCCGTTTAGACCGTAAGTTCAGAAAGTAGCCAATTAACTAGTGGCGCATTGAGATCTTCGCACATAAGTTTGGACTAGTAGGTAGTGCTAGAAACTGTGTTGATAGCATCCATTAGCTGCTAGGTTTCATGGTGGGTTGTTCGGGGAGGTCGGTAGATACAATTAACCAATCGTCTTACTGTCTTTGCCCCTATGCTGTTAATTATAATTGCTGAACTGAAGCATTCAAGCTTTCCGTACTGACTCAATGGTTGGGTCGTTTTATAATTTTGACTGAACGACAAGAAAGTAGTTTTACACGCGTTGGTGTGCTATTTTGTTGTCGCTGGTGGCAGCTATGGTGACAGTGGTTTTGAGAAAAAAAAATCCAACAAAGGATTCGAGAGATGTCTATTTGGATCATTAGGGGTAACAGGTGCCGTACAAGAGCCGAATGCGTACTCCAACAACATTCAGCAAGCCAGATGACCAAATGATGCACAAGGTTACGAAAAGCACACTGATCTCACCTGCAATGGAATTATTCTCATGGGAGTAGTCGGGCGGTTCAGGAGATCGTCTTACGCGTTTCTCCACTGTGGCTGTGTTGGTTACCGGCTCTGCCGAACGCTTGTTGTTCTTAAATCGGAGCAAACTGTCGGCGATGCGGTTAGCCACGAGTAACTGCTTGCCAAGAGTAGGCGCTAGCGGTCGAGGAGATGAGCGTTCAAACTCTTCAGACAATTCAGTGCATATTGTATTAGCGTTACGCACTGTCTGCGGTACCGGTTTTGTCGGGCTCACTGTGGAAACAGTCAGGCAGTATAGTGGTGATTGCCCATCCTCGTTGTTCGCACGTCGATGAATCCACACTAGAAGAAAAGGAGGAAGTGGATGACAAGAAGATGAAGAACAAGGAAAAAAGTCAAATAGGATAAAACAAAAAGGTTATGTTGTGAATAAACAGAGAAATCTTTCATTGCGATTGTTTTCAGATATGGACATACCGGCATACACTCGGTTGTGGTTCCGATAGGTGAGTTAACACCAATGTGCAATATATCGAGGATTCTTCACAACAACATCCCACGCATCACGAAAGGCCGTTTCGTTTAACTGGGGTTTGTTAGCGGCACGCTTCACCTTGACCATGAGTGACGACGACACATCGTCTACCAATTCAATACAGGTAAGCAAGTATGATTTAGGCACCGAGTTGCTGTGAACAAAGTTGCCTTGATACTGCCACTTGCTTTGTTGGAAGATTGTACTCCATTCACGAACATCAGCCATTTCGAAGATTTTATTTGATTCCTTCCTGTTGGTGAATATACCGGACAAAACCACAAATTCAGAATAACAGTAAGAAACTCACGGAACATGGTTACCTATCGATACACATGGTTGCCGGCATCCGGTTTGCCTGTCTATGTGGCCAGCCACAGGATACCTGCGCCTAGAAAGGGAGCACGGGTGACTTGCGCTGCACCACCCACAGCTCCATCCACATACCCCATATCCAGTGTAAATCCGAAGGAATGAGACCGGGAGACATGTGGATGCGAGCCACGTTTCATCAACGGAGCCCGCCCACACCCCTTCACGGGCAAACACAAGCACGCTGTATTTGGGGAATCAAGTGCACACAAGGCGGTGGCTGGACCGTAGTCCGCTCCACACTGAATGCATGGAATCACTCTTCGAGCCCAGCGCGGCCACAAGGACCGTGCACCCCGTCCCCTCCAGCAACGACCGACTGTCTTCTGGAGCCAGTATGGACGAGTTTGTGGGTAATAGACAGGTAGGCACTTTGTGAAAATGTACATCGAGCGCAGCCACACCAGCGATAGCAAGTAACAGCCTATCACTTGAAACGACTATATATATATATATATATATATATATATATATATATATAACATAAATCCTGTATGTACGTGATAACTTTTAACATGTGTGTACAATTACCGATTATACGGGTCTGTACAACTATGATCATGCCATTTAGGTATGCCTTGCATTATGGAGAATAAGACATTTATTTATTTATAATAGACTTACAAATGGCGGTGATAATACAATAGAAACGAACAGGAATTAAGATTTCCAGTCAGCTGGGACAGATTCTTTGTCCCAAAGCTTCACAAGTAAGTTGTGCAGATCAAGCCGGGCTGGGGCCCGAAGTATAATGTACACGTCTGGTTGAATACACTTGTTCACATAATAAGAAGCCGACCCCAATGGCGTTTGTGTTGTGGGTTTGTTTCTCCCTCCTCATCCCACTTATTTTCCCCTCTAACCACGATCTCAATATTGATCTATATTATGCTACTAAGCGATTTGTTACTTGTTTTCAAGATTCGAAAAATGTTCAGTATCTTTCTCTTCTAAACGTCGTTTCTTTTTGTATTGTGGCACAATAGTTTGGGTGTGTTCATCAACTTCCCCTAATGTGTAATGACGATGATGATGATGACATACTCCATGGGGTATGCAAATCACTGATGCGGTCGATTCGAGAATCCCGTCGAAGAGGAGGAGGACAAGCACTAATCCGGCTCCGCTTTTGGATAAGCTTGCTTATGCTCTTTAACCATGCTATCCCCGAACATCACATAACACAAGTTGCCGTATTGATAAACAAGAGACAATGAGATAGTTGGCGCGAGAAGCGCATGGTAAATAGTGGATCGAGACGCTTCAATGAGACATCGGAGAGTGGGTTGCCAAACATTACGTGACTGGAGTAAATGTTAATCACGCCAGTCTCCGCTAGACATGAGCGATACTTCACAGGTATCGATGACCAAATACGGTCGGTCTACTAGTGTCTTCGGCATAGTGGCCTCTGATCTATACAGGAATGCTGGTCACATCGCGATGCTGTGAACCACTTCCTTAGTCTACGCAAGTGATGCTGATCTTATAAATCCACACGAATGTATGCGTTAATTTCTTTGGTGATGCAATCACCAAGGAGATGTGACTACCTGGGTAAGTAAACCGATGGAGCAGAAATGATGAGAGCAGATTCTTATCCCGCGTATGTGCAAAGCACATGGCAAGGTGCAGAGCTGAGAAAACAGTATGGATGCTTGGTCTGAACAAAAAAGAGCTGTCGCCAGCTGAAAGAATCTCTCTGCTCTGTTAGAAGTGGAATGAGGCAGGAGAGAGTCAATCGTAGTAATTTCGGAGAGAAAAGGGGGACTGGATCAATCCTGGTGCACTATGACAGTGATGGCGAACTGAGTGTAGAATTTCCGCAAACGCCTACACAACCCCCAGAATCGTGGTTATAGAGTATAGAACAAAGAGAGGAAGTTCGCAAGCAGCCTTCTGTGCTAGGGGTCGTCACAAGCAGGCACGATCGACCGAACCGAAGGTGGTCTTATAGCCAAGCAAGACTACAATGGCAGGTTGACTGTGGTTATGGTGACATTTAAGCACATGGCGAATGCTGAAATGTGTCGGAAGGAACCAACCTGATCTTCACCGATTATCACTCACAAGGAGCGAGTTGTTGCAGCATGCCGCACGTGATCAATGTCGATGGTTTTCACAGATGTCCTTTGGTTCTTTTTTAATATTGAAATGGCGTTCGATAATCGTCAGTCAGAAGGAACTTCTTCTGTGTGCCAAGCAAAGTCGAGCAGCACACTAGTCAGCCACCGCCGTTCTTCAGAAATAGTGGCAGATGTCGTCAGAGGCAGGAGCTTCGACAGCACCAGCTTGTGCCGAATTTCGCCGATGGTGACAGCTATTATTTCAGCGTTCCGAATGGATTCAGATTGCGATTATAATGCGCCGGTACAGCTAAATCGTTCTGACCGAAGTGGAGGAAACTGAACAACCGTAGAACGAGTTTGGAAAACTTTTTGGTATTCACAGTGACGCTAGTACTCTCACGGACTCTAATCGATCAATTTAATTCGCAGACACTCAGCTGAACAACGTTTCAGAGCGCTAAAAGCAACCTCAAACTAAACATCTGCGAAACCAACTTCTGTGCTTCAATCCAACCAGTGAAAAGCTTAGAACCCATCCACTATACAGACACAAAGAGTTGCGAGGCACCAGATTTTGAAGCGCGCACTGAGTGCGGTTACTATAACCATGCTCCTCAAATTCAGCACTAAGTCCCACGCAGTCGGTGGACCCTTTCTGTTCGAAATACTTGTAAGGAAAGGTGCTCCGAGAAGTATATGCATATTGCACGCGCACTGTATTCGAACACGGTGATGTATTTTCGACGACAACTGGTGTTCGCCCAACTTATCCAATTCCCCCCTTGTTCAACTTTGTTGTGAATTCCATCATGAAGTCTTCCCTTTCGGTAACTCACGATGCAGGCGTTTAGGTGCTGTATGTCGGAAAACTAGTTGATGTTTAATGTGCGGGTGATACTAACTTGTTTAAGGACAATTAGGTGGCCCTGTTAATCCTGGACAACTTATCTACCGGCCCCATCATTTGGCATGCACTTCGCATCTGCAAGCGAAAGGCATTGGGGGTAGGAGAATGTCATCGAGTAGTTAAAATCGGTCTGGCTTGCTCGCACTGTTTGAAATGGTATCATCCGAAATGTGCAAATGTGTCCCAACAACAGGTACGAGAGCGAAATAGCTCCCAAGATGCATTTTGGTTCTGTACTGCGTACTCCACCATCCCACTCGTTAAGTGTTTGCTTATCCTAGCTCAGAAGTGCGACCGGTTAACCGCAGAAGCCGAGCAGAGGATAAACGATAAGATTATTTCAATGGAAGCGAGTATGCACCACGGAAGCGTAGCGGCTTCTAAGCCACGTAATGCAAGTTCGTGAATGATCGACGTGAAGAGCGCGGTGACATCAAACGACAGCATGATTTCATCTTCCTCTATTGTAACACACTTCAGTTTGTTGATGAATTGTTCAGCATTGATGATGCTTTGTTCAGAGCCGGCAATTAGATGTTTTAATTTCTTCCACATGCATTTTGCCAATTTGTACGATGGGGGTCCTGGCAACGAGACGATTGGACGCAATGGGACTCCGTCTTTGTGTACCTTTGGCAGTCCATAGAACCTTGCAATGTTTGTGTCCTCAGCTTTCATCTTCCATCACTCCAGCTTGGTAATCTCACTCGTTGCTTGTAGTTTCTTCAATGCTGTGTTGATTTAAGTACTCAGTTTTGTACTAGGGTCATGATCTATGGGACGATAGGTGGTCGTGTCGGCCAGGAGTTGTTTGGCTTTTGCAACGTAATCTGGTTTATCCATTATTACTGCCATGCGTCCCTTGTCAGCTGGTAGGATTACAATATTGTCTGCTTTTTGTAGCCTTCTGTGTCCTTCCCGTTCTTCTTTTGCGAGCTCAGCGAACAATCAGCCAATCAACTAAACAACCTGAGCTACCAACATTTGCTTCTATACCACGTAATGCAGCACAATCCGTTTACAATCAGCCACGTCCCCATCTCCGTTGTCTTCTCCAACTTTGGTAGGACGCCGGGCGAAAACAGACCGTGCCTACGTGAGTCAAACAGTACTCAAGGCAACGAAAATCAGGCACCACTCGAAACGTCTGGTCAAGCAAATTCCATTAGACCTGACCTCTAGCATTGACAAGGATGAAGCAGCCGAACACCAACCCTCGGTACCTGTAGCTCAAATGTCTCTAGTCGAGACAAAGCCCCAGGAACATCAGTTACATATGCAGAAATTGTAGCGAAGGTCCACCGTTGCGGCCTTATCTGTTGTAAACACCGTTAATGCGATTAGAGAGACAAACGGCAAACAATCAACACTTGTCTGCAGGTCAGGACAAACGAGTACCATACCTTGTAGATCAACGAAAAACGGATCCAACAATAGTGCCCGGAATGTTGTATGCTCA